TTTCTAGTGCGTTCCTCTGCTATGCCCTTCGCAGCTAGCCTTGCGCGAGGTGGCTGGTTGGTGTTTGTCCGTCCACAGGGCACCGTTGCCTCTGTTACCTCTCTGCCCTGGGAGCCCGTGGGCTACCTGCCCTATGGAGTCGGTACCGAGCGATGCCTGTAGTTCGCGGCTGTTTCGTTACTCTTTCTTCCCTTCTCTCCCCCGCTACCGACCCATGATCGCATCACCGCATCGCGCCGCTGATGCCATGCCATGCCACGCTCTTCATGCCGCTCCGTATAGCTTCTATTCTCGATATTCGTTTCCTGCCCGTTTGCGCCGGAGCTGAAAGAGACAAGGCCCCTCCCCCCGACTCGGAGAATAGGGGCCAACGGTCAATCTTGTCCTGATCCAGCCAGTCCAATGCCACGCTGCCGGCAGGGAGCTAGTCACAACACAATCGAGGCGAAGCAATCACCAGTCAGCGACTCTGCGTCTCTGCTCGTCTGTGCCTCTGTCCGTGCCGGTGACTTTGTGTGCCATGCCGAGCCAGTCATGGTTCATGGGTGTCGTTGCCATCCCATCCCATCTTTTCTGTCTCTTGTCTATCCGCCCCTGCGCCTGGCTCATGCAAACATGCCCGTGCTCTCCTTCTCGTGCAACCCGTCCATTCAGCGGATGACAGAGCACCGCTCACCGTCCAGTCCTAAACACACCAGCGTCAGCTTCATGCGTGCGTACGTTCGTTCTCTGGCAGCAGCCGTGGCATCCTTCAGCAAAAAGGCAATATTTGGCAGATTTCCGTCGTCAGACGGTCGGAACCCGGGCGGCAGCTCTTATCCGCTTCTTTTTTCGTCCGTCCCAACTGCTGCTGCTGCTGCTGCTGGGCAATATCGATGAATGGCATTCAGAATTAAGGGGCATTAGACTCCAAAAGTCCAAGATGACAATCCCCATACCTCGCTGTAAGCTTCAACTTTGAATCGCGCGGGTGTAAATCTCTCCGTGGCCCCATCTCTCGGATGGGCCTCTCTCGTCAAGCTGTGACTAAGGTCATCTCCATTGGACCTTGTTCGGTCGACCACCGCTTCTCCTTGACCTTGCCTTAGGTAATGGTGAAGACACAACAGAGTTGCGGGGCCTATAGCATGAAAATAGGTAGTAGGCGGCAGCTATCTCTCTCTCAAAGGTCGACGAGAGAGCACTGCCCAGAGTAACAATCCATTGCATTCGGTACTCGCCCCCTCGCCTCGGCCTGCATCCGACTAGCCCCCCGAGGGCTGAAAATGAGCGCCTCTTTTTTTTTTTTTTTTTTTTTTTTTTTTTTCCCCGGGGTTNCCCTTTTTTTTTTTTTTTTTTTTTTTCTTTTTTCTGCCCGGTGTTGATTCGGTCAGAGCCCGACCGGGACCTGGAAACCTGGAGAGCGACATCGTCATGTGGACATGTTCATCTTTGTCGCCCCTGGCCGTCCTGCACCTGTTGGTGTGGTGACATGCAGAGAACCCTACACAAAGGTTCCATCATCTTGGCCCATTGCTGCACTTGAAGCGGTTCTCTCCGTGTGTGCGCCCACAGCGAGAGTGGTCCCTCTCTCCATTCCCAACGACACCCGATATTTTGCTCGCTGATGTGCTGCCCGCCCTATGACCCCAACTGGGCGGCCCAAGCACTGGGTCCAACAAATAGCCTCCCGACATGGGTGCTGTCTGCTGTTCTCTCAGCCCTTGCGAGGAAGAATTACAAAAAATCATGAGCCCAAACCGTGTCGACGGAAAGTCGATCCTCCCGAAGTCGCACACGCAATCGTCTCAACTTGGATGACGACTCCAGAGTCTCGGCCGCGGCCGCGTCGTCGTCGTCGTCGCCCTTCTCATGGCTGACAGAAAAGAGAGTTGAGCTGCAAAACTTCTCATCATGCCATGTCCTTGAGCTTCTCGCAAAAGCTGAGATGCTCGACTCTCGGCTGCTGCCCCGCCCCGGCCCCTGTCTGTAGAAAACCAACCTTTCCCATCCCGACCGGATGAGGAAGGACCCTGTTCCCATTTCCAGCCCACTAGAACGACGAGCGAACGTGATGCGGTCATGGATCATGGGCATCCGTGCGCTTCCCCCCCTTGGGCATCCCATCACTCATGCGGGCCTTTGCCCCGTGGCAGGCTAGGCCGAAGAGATGCGATGCGGCGGGCGATGAAAAGTTGAGAGCGCTGCACGTAGCGTGCCAGCCCAGCAAGTGGAGACCGTCCTGAAGGCGAAGCTCTCCCACTCGACCAGTGTGAGAGCTTCTCCGAGACCAAACCCGCGACACCAGAAACGGCCGGCGCTGCCAACCGGGTTACATCAGGAAGAGGGACCTGACGGCCACTCAAGACATGGTTTCAAACCTCTGTCCATGGCCCGTGGCGTCCGAGCTTTCGAACCACAGCACTCACACAAGTTCCCTCCAGGGACCTGGGTGTTTGTCGTTGCAGGGGAGGCTGACGGCCGACCTCTTGTGAAGATCCACCGTCCACGGTATGGATCTGCTGCTGCCGCTGCCAAAACAAACCATCAATAGAAGCTTGTGGTTTGTGCTCTGCTTGAATCAATGACACGGCATGCAACCATTTGCCGTGCAACGGTTGGGGGCATGTCATCTCCCTTTGTTATTTCTCCGACTCGCGTGCCATCCCGGTAATCCGCAATAATAGCATCAGTCCGTTGTCCGTAGTCCGTCTAGAAGCACTGCGGTATTCGTACAGTCTATTTTGCCCCTGAGGCTGAGAGAGAGAGAGAGAGAGAGAGAGATCCCCATCGGCAGGAATTCCGACACACTTCAGTTGCATCCCGGAGGCAGCCGACGTGCCGCGAACCTTGGGAGGGCCGTCCGGTCGGATCTTGGAGCCAAGGTTTGAGGTTATTGCTCTTTGTCATAGCCATTCCGTCCGAAGGTTATTTCGAAATGCTTCCACGATGTGGTCCGCTAACCTGGAGCTTTCACCTCGGTGCATCATTAGCGTAGCTCTGCCCTGTCCGCGGTTGCATATCGCGCAGCGAGTCAGAGCTGGTTGGATGGTGGAGAAGGCTAATTCAAAGACACAAAACGTTAAATTCCATCACCCCGGCAAAACAAGATGCAATGCTTTCGCCTTTCGTCTCAAATAGACAGCAATTTGTTGGGGGATCTCTGTCTCTCCCGGATTACCTTGTTGCATTTCCTCCGAAGGGCTTTGGAACCCATCCCCCCGTTTTCCCTCCTCACTCTGCCGTGTGTCTGGGTTCAGCAACGGGTCGCTGCTTTTCCAAGGGTCTCTTGGCTTGTCGGTGTTGTTTGAACGTGCCTCCTAGCATTCTGCAAGGGGCTGGGAGATCGGAGTTGCAGGGCTCCTTTCTGATTCTGGTTGGCTGAAACAACAGTTTCTCGTGTCCATTTTTGGCCTCTCTGCCGGGGGCATCAGCCATACCCATGTGCTTCTTTTCCAGCCCTGGGGGAGTAACTGACGCGAGCGGGAGCCCATCTGAGCCAGCCTTCCCGAACCGTCGACAGATTGTCATCTCAGATGTCCGTCACAAACCACGAGGTAACCGGTGCTACGGAGCTAGCGCGGGCGCGACAAATCAACGTCGTCCCGCCGGCGGACTGACGGTTGAGCGGCGGTGGCTGTACTGACGTCCAGCGCGCGTAAGGGCCGCCTGTTTCTGGCCCGCGTGAGGTCTCTCTCTTTGTGCCTGACCGCCCTCACATGCCCCTGGCCGACCCTGTTCAATTTGTCAGGGATGGCCTTTCATGGCGCCAGGCGTCATGGACAGCGCACCAAGAAATGTTTGACATGGAGTCCAGTCAATTTCCTGCGCAGCGGTGTGAAGAGACGATAATATTCCGACGATGTATCGCGAGTGGGTGCGCCTTATTGCGCTGGGGAGCGGGCCCAGGTGGCGAGTGGGATATTGGAAACAGAGCGTATCTCGCTGCAGATCTTGAGCAGAATCGAGTCAAGGCGAGAGCCCTACGTGTTGATCACGAGTGGAATCGAGTCAAGTTTAGAAGCCTTGCGTGTTGATCGCAAGGAGAATGGAGTCGAAACCACAGCCCTATCTGATGAATCCGAGAAGGGGTCGAGTCAAGCGGAGAGCCTCATCTGTCGACATGCTCGGTCTCCTTTTTTTGTCCTCATCATACCTTGCGGCAAATTGTACCTCGGCCTCATCTGTTGATACGAAGCTCGAGCAGGTCGAGTCGAGCCTTGTCGTTGATCCGCAATGCAGGAACGAATACACCCGTCAGGAACGAGAGCACACCGTTGCAGGTACGAATACCGCACGTCTCAGGAACGAGTACGGACGCATCGTTGTCGTCGCATGAACATGCAGAGGTCGGCGGTACAGAGCTGAGGTGTGCATTGTTCTGACATCAACCACTCGGCCCGTCTGCGTCAGTCGGTCCAAACGGGGCTGTGAGCAGCACGGCGTCACGATACTTTTCCCCTCCTCGCCCGACGACTCAATGGAAGTCGCTGTGTGTCTCAGTCCATTGGCCGGCGAATGACGGCATGCGGCCTGAGGCTCTCTGAGATGAGTGCCTCAACCATTATCCATGCGAGGTCATCACCGCCAGGCCGGATAGGGCAAGGCGGGTTTCTATTCTTAAATAACCTTCTTTGCCTGTTGTCTGCGAAAACTCGGTCAATCACACCGCGGACTTTTGTCTTGTCTCCTCGGTCGCCGGGACAAGTCGTCGACGGCTCTCAGGGTCCAATCTCATTTGGATAACGGCATATGGTAAGCTGGGGCCACGAAACTTTTTTGTTTCCCTCGCTCTCGGTACAGAGCGTGCGGCGCAGACGGTCGCCCGTGGCTGAGGGAACGCAACGTTCCATAGTCTATCTCGCTGATGGGCCAGCATAGTTACCATTTGGGTTGTTATGCGAGACGGCTCGCTTGCTGCCTACGCCGTCGCTCACTCCGTCTTGACCGATCGACGGTAGCCGGTGCTTTGATTTGGGCGCGAGAGAGCTGCCCACACTTAGGACGTGTCAAAGTCTCAACTAAAGGGCGACGGATTCAAATCGAAATCGGGCCTGCAGATAGCTGATCTGACATGTCTCCACCTCGGCCGTCACGGCGAACTGGTAGAAATTTCTCAGCGCGGGCTGGTCGCTGTGTGCGATGCTGAAGGCGCGACGGCCATTGGCTGCGCTGGCGACTGGGCAAAAGGGAAACCCTGTGCGCATCATTGACCCGCATATGTGCGTTGAACGTTGTGCGAGGGAGCCGCCGCGGCCGAACGCGGTGAAGAGGGCATGGGGGTTCCCAGGTGAGAGAGATCTGCCCGACAATCCATACGCGCGCGGCGCCGTGTCTGTTGCCGTCACCGTAGCCGTCGCCATCGACCATCGCGCGCACACAAGTATTTTCCCACTCTTTTTGTGGTTTGGCCCATCATTCCGTGGGCGCTCTGGTGCGGCTACCGGAGCACGCGAGGCTCGTCTTCAGGTCTGTGGGTTGCTTCATTCGCCACGAACTAACGGAGTCTCGGGTTCATCTTGTCTCCAGGCGAAGCACAGCAGGTCGGTTGCCGACGACATGACATGGCGCGGGAGTCGATAGACAACTGACGGGCTGGAGGCGGTGAAAAGTAAATTATCGAGCTACCTCAGTGTCGACGATAACGCAGATTGGACATGGAGTGATCAGCCACAGATGCAGCAGCAGAGTCACAGACGGACGCATGGGCATGCAGGTTGCAAGCCTCAAGCGTTGCTAATCGGCAGGCGGGCCAAGATGATTTGCCTGGTACGGCGCATGACCTCGAGATGCTGGGTTTTTTTTTTTTTTTTTTTTTTTTTTTTTTTTTTTTTTTTNGTGGTGGTTTTTTTTTTTTTTTTTTTTTTTTTTTTTTTTTTTTTTTTTGCCCGCCTCGTACGGTTGGGGAGAGCTCAGGAGCTGCTCTGTGCTCATTGCCAGGGGTCTCCAAGGTTTGCTCCGCGTCGAGAACAATTCTCGGTGCGGAGAAGATGCAACTCTGCGCGCACTTTTGCTGATGAGGTAGTTTATCCGCTGCTGGACAAAGCAGGGGGAGGCATGTTTTGGCAGCCCTGGGGATTTTTGATCTTTGTCAAGTGTCAGTGACCGTGTCAGTGTCCAATCGGCCGAGAGAACTGGAGGGCTAACCTCGTCGCTCTCCCTGCCGGCCGGGTCCACGACCCATGAGACTGGCAGCATGAAGCACCAATCAATGGCCTCATGGGAAAAGTTGGCAAGCGAGCTGTGCGAATTTCGCTAGGTCCCGCAAGCGCAACCGCAAGCGGCGGGTTATGGATAAACTGTGGTGTAAATTGGTGGCAGGTGGCAGGCGTGCTGTCCCGTCGTCTGGGGCGCTGGGCTTCTGGAAACACTGTGAAATGCAGGGCCGTCCATCTCCACCGCGCTTTTGACGGCACACCGGGCACAATCGGCAGGGGAGGCGTCGGAGTTCCACCGCTTGGCGGAACGAAGGAATGGAGAGGGAGACCAGCAACAGGGGCCGTATCAACGTCCTCAGTGGTCGGTTTGCGGTGCGGGTGACGGTGATGGGCGGCGGTTGGTTATTGGCCTGTTCCACGAATACCTGTCGAAAGAATTGACTATTTCCTTCTGCTGTTGGTACCAGTTCGGTACAACATTTGTCTGGTACTTTCCAGGTTGTCCGAGATGTTGTGCATAAGGTATCGACATGAAGCCCAGGGCGACGGTGCCGGCGGCGGCGGCGGCCACTCCTGTCGCCTCGACAGATGTGCTTCTGCGCCGTTACCTGGGCCATCGTTTGTTCGCAGCCACCAGCCACCACCACCAGGACCAAGACCCAAGAAACGTGAAGCCCACACCACTAGCAGCAGCAGCAAAGCGAAGCGAAGCGAAGCCGAGGAGCCAAAATCAACGCCGAGGCACGGCAGAAGTCGGTGGTTTGGCGCTGGTGTTAGGTAAGATTCGCTTGGCCCATCGTCCCATCATGACGTCTGGTCTTTGGTTCTTTGACACGCGGGTTGGAGACGGAATCATAGGTCGTGTGCCGGACGCTAATGAGCCGCGGGGGAAAGGGCTGCTTGCTGGATGTCAGTGTCTGTCTGTAAGGGTAGACGAAGAAAAGATGGCTGCCCGTTGCCCGGGTCTTGGCCTCATTCGTCCAAGTTGGACTCCAAGATGAAAAGGTAACGTACCAAGAAGGTTGTGTCCTTCCTACCAGCGCAGCGACCAGTGACCTGTGACCACTGCAGACTGCACCTCGACTGGTGCCGCAAGCCCAAAGGTGGTTAGTCCCGCCCGTCCCCAGCGTGGAAAGGTAGGTACATACTGCGCAGTAAGGTAGGTAGGTTCCTCCCTGCCTGAATAGGCACGGAGCAGGCACCTTACCTAAGGCAGGTAGGTAGCGGTAGCTAAGGTAGGTACTTAGGATAAAGCCGACTTGCCGAGCCCCAGCTTTCCTTCTTTTTCCTTCGAAAAAAAACGTATGGATACTTTGTACATGGCAATAAGCGGAAAGCTGCCGACCCCTGATTGGCTTCTACCGAAGGTGCATCCCGGTCATGGCTGCCTGTCGTGGGCTATTATTAGAAGCACCCCGGTTGCCTCATTGGGACGGGCTAGCCAGTAGTGGCCGGTCGGCGATGGATCCCCGGGCAGGAACAGGTGAGAGTCGAGTGCACCTGCCGCACCTGCCACCTGCTGGCTGCTTTTTTACCTCACAGCCCTTACCTTGCTCGGTCTGGTGCCAGATGGGAAGCTGCGCTTAACCTTCTCTTTCCAGCCTCTGTCCAGTGACCAGTCCCTTTTTTGACGTGCCGGAAACCAAGCAACGCCAACTGCAACCTCACTTGGGAAAGAAGAAGCGATGTCATGCTCCTTAGAGCAAGCCTTGGTCCTTGACAACGTCCAAGCCGACAACACATCCGTACGGATACCTGCTACCCAGGGAGGGAACTAGGTAAGTAATCAACCAGACAAGGCTCACGATGCTAGGCCCAGGCTACGGATACCAACACATCTCCGGTGGTCGTGGGGACCGAATCCGAGATCCACCATCAACCTCCTCTCTCACAGCTCTCTCTCAACGCCGCTCACTCCACCACCCTTCAGTCATGATCCATCTCCATCTCGCCCCTTCATCCAGCTCCATCTGCTGCTCCCAACCCCCGGGCGCCGTTGCCAAGCCCCGGCGCATGTGACAGCTTTTGTCGACGCCTCGGAGGTCATCGCCGTTTGAATCCGCGACCTCGACCTTGGATCCGCTGATGGACACCCCGATGTCTCCAGCCCACTTGTCTCCGTGGGCCGTCGACCCCCCGACCGCCCATCCTCGTCCTTAACCCCATTCCCTGGGCACTATCACGTCGTTAACCTCGGCCTCGCGCAGCCATGCGAACTCCTCCTCCAGCCCCCTCCCTTCCTTGCCTCGACGACCGCTCTCGCTGGAGCCACCATCATCGGCTGCCTGCATGCATCCTGTGCGCTGCGAGACAGAGGCTAAGGAAGCCGGCCACCTTCTCGACGACCATTCGCAGAAGCTTTCAATACTGACCCGTGACTAGGGCTTGCACAGTTCACGGCATGACAATTGCTGCGAGCTAATGGCCACCAGCTGCTGCCCTCGTGGAACGGCCAACGAACCATGCCCACCGCTTGGCGCCTAAATTTGCCTTGATTTTTCACCTCAACGTCTGTTATGATATGATCCGGCTTGGATCGACGCTGTGTCTCTCTGACTCGACCCTGCCGGGCCATATTATCCCTCATTATCGACACTCTACTCGCCGCAACTAAACCTCACGCCGTCTGCTTTTCCGTTACCCACCGGCTCCATGGGCTATCGCAGGACAGGCGCACCCCGCGGCCATCGACACACCCGTCTCTCGCCTCGAGCCTCCCACCCTCGCCCTCCTGCTGCTGGACGCCAACTCCCTCTCCCCAACACGCACTAGTCGGGGGTTGCCCTGCCCGCCGTCACCCTGTTGCCTCCACGTGCTGGGCAGCTAAGGCGGGCTCTCTGTTGGCTCTGCGAGCAGCGTAAAGTCGCTCCGTGCCCGACTTCAAGGGTGCCCCTGCTTCCGGTTCCAAGATCTTCGCCGCGCGCAAAAAAAGTTCCTGATGTTTTTGTCGGACGACATTCCCATCTGCACCTCCTCGAGAGCAGCAGCAGCTTGTCACGGCATCCGCCATCCGCCAATCGTCCTACGACGACCAGCGCCCAGTGTACCCCCCCTTTTTTGTTACCCTGCCTTGTCCCCCTTTGGGTCTCTGCGTCCCGACCGGAACGCTTAGCCCGATCTCGCGGCGGCTTCTTGCACCCAAGACTCTAGATCATCAGCAACGTTGTACCGCCGCTGCAGTGCCACAGATGTCCAACACTGGAGGGAGAGCTGAGGGGCAGGCAGAGCGTTCAGCGCTCAAACTCTTCAGCACGCCTCGTCCACCGCTCGCCGGCCGTGTGTGTGCGGTGTGTGTCTGCTGCTGCGCGCTAGCATCCACAGCTGCGAGTTCTGCATGCCCCGAGCCCAAGATTGGCGAGATCATCGTTCATCATGATTGCGACGGCAGACGGGTGAAGCCATATGGTGAGACGAGTTCGAAAGCCCGACCCTTGAAATGCATGGCCCGTCTCCGATAAAGTACGGATCTTCTCTCTGCCTGCCCAGACTGGTGGTGGAAGCCGTCCCTCGGTGATGATCAGAATTGATCGTGATCTCTCAGCTCGCGACGTGCCGCTGCCAGACGTCTGAGAATACCGACATTGGGCCTGCTCAACGCACGTCACGCTGTCACCGCAGCGGAACCCCGTCGGGTGTAATTCACAGAGGGATACACAATTTCCAGCATCTCGGACCGGTGCCTAAACCGAGCCCTATGCCCTGATTCGACGTGCCCAGAGCTTGATGCAGTTAAAGTTCCGCCGATAGGGACCAACCGTTTGCCACCGCGGGCCTGTCGTGCCGTCTCCAGAACTCTCGCTAGTGTTTGATGGGCGTGACGGACAGCCCGGTGAGAATCCGCAGTGGCGTGAACACCTCTCACGCGTTCTCGCGGCTCGCCTGTTCAGGAGAAGCGCACTGTTAGAGGGCCATTATGCTTCCCCGTCGACGATGCCGGGACATGCCAACTCAAGATTCAGATCCAGTGCTATTTCCATCGCCAAAATGGGGGTGTGTGTTGTGCTGCCAAAGTATGTGTGGGTGGGTGGGATGGCATGATCCCCTCCGTCATATCAAAGACGGGCAACACACACCTGCCGGATGATGAGGCTTGCCAACGGCGTTGCGGTGTGGCGCATTACTAAGACCATCTTCTGTCAACCGCACCAACCATGTTGTTGACACCGCCACAAGTCTTGCCAGTTTGTGCCAAACTATCGGACAAG